TAAAATAGGAATATAGCTGTCAAATCAATAAAAATAGAAAATGCCTATAAAGGCAAGTTGTAGAAATTACTAGTCTAACCAAACTACAGATAATTGTATTATAGCATTAATACTAAGAAACCACAAGGAAATATGGGACAAATTCAGAAATTATACAGTAACTTATAACATCTTTCGAACAAAGTTGAGCCACTAGAAGACTAGGCTCACTGAAAGTTGTAGGGAGATACTACTCTAACCAAAACTATATATTATTTTCATGTTGCAATGTAATGTCCACTCTACTCAGATGACAACTCATTTGCATCATATCCTCAAGTCCATAGAAATAATTGAAGACTATGACAAACTTAAACTAGTAGATCGAATTTAGGATCAAAAGGGTGTGTGCTTCTATTGGTGGGAAAAATTATGAGATCCCTGCATCATGTGTTCCTCATTTTTTAAGGTACGTTATTTCTCTGTGGTTTTATCACCTAGAATATTTACATCTAAGCACAACTAGCATTTTAAAACATAAGTGGAAGTAGCAGAGTAGTTCTTTTAAGTTGGAACACACTAATTGATGAATCACAAGAAGTGTGACAAAAATAGATCTTTTTATTAAATGAAATAAGAAGTGTTACTCGTATGACAGCCATCCACCAAGCTCTTCACTGCCTAAAACAATATCCTTTAGTACCCTAGGAAGTAGTTCAAGTTTATCCCATCTAATCAATTGAGGGCAACCAGACTCTTCAGGTCCATAGGATCTTCTCAATTCCATATGCATGGAAATAAGGGCATCCATCATCAATTTCCCAGGTCTAGAAGCTGCTTCCGTTGCATATATCTGATGAGTACCCCAAAGGTCCGTGGATGATTCAAGGGTTGCTTTCCTGAACACTGTTATGAAAAAATAACACAACCTAGACCAAGAAAAACAACAAACTCAATTAACCAAAAGAGAACATAGAAAAAACTAACAGGAGATGAGTGAACATAAAAGTTTGGAATAATGCTTACCCTACATGCAAGTTGACTTGTACGAAGAGCTTCCGAAGATTTAGTAATCAGGAAGGACTCAAGTAGATCAAATAATGCACTGTGCTTTGAGATAAGGAAGATAAAGATTGTTCCAGAGTTTAAGATAGAGAGTAGCCTGCAAACATGCAGATGCATGTTAAGAAGCAAAAATCCAATAACCTAAACAGTAAGCCAAAGAAGTTGAGTATTGGCAAAACTACAAAAAATAATAATTTCAAATTATAGTATACCCACCTCGTCATCAATACTTCGGATGTTTTTGAACGTCTCTGCAAAAGATTTTGAAAGTCTCTACAAGATCTTTTTTTTTATAACCCAAAAATCCGTCTATGACCCGCCCTTTGGACCAATCATAGCCTTCTAAACTCGGTGGATAATGGGCATGCTCCTCTACCTTCTCCATTTAAATACCGGGCTTCGCTTTGCATGGTGTGGGGCTTGAACCTGCGACCTAAGCCACAAATCCTCCACCTTTTGCCACTAGAGCTAGGCCTTGGGCTCCACTTAAATATCGGGCTTCACTTTGCATGGTGTGGGGCTTGAACCTGCGACCTAAGCCACAAATCCTCCATATTTTTCCACTAGAGCTAAGCATTGGGCTCCACTTAAATATCGAACTTCGCTTTGCATGGTGTGGGGCTTGAACCTGCGGCCTAAGCCACAAATCCTCCACCTTTTGCCACTAGAGCTAAGCTTTGGGATCCACTTAAATATTGGGCTTCGCTTTGCATGGTGTGGGGCTTGAACCTGCGACCTAAGCCACAAATCCTCCACCTTTTGCCACTAGAGCTAAGCCTTGGGCTCCACTTAAATATCGGCCTTCGCTTTGCATGGTGTGGGGCTTGAACCTGCGACCTAAGCCACAAATCCTCCACCTTTTGCCACTAGAGCTAAGCCTTGGGGTCCACTTAAATACCAGGATTCGCTTTGCATGGTGTGGGGCTTGAACCTGCGACCTAAGCCACAAATCCTCCACCTTTTGCCACTAGAGCTAAGCCTTGGGCTCCACTTAAATATCGGTTAGTTTTTAATATGTAGGCTAGTTGGCCAAATTCCATATAATAATATTTTGATTTTTTAATATAAGGTTTTGTCATCTGATTTAACAAACATATGATATGCAATCGTAAGCTTTCGCATGACACCCTAATCACTTTCGAACCAACAAGTGTTATCAGAGCACATGGTCTAGCGATCACATAGTTCAATGATCCAATTGAACAAGGTTGAAGACAGGTTCAACGCAGTTTCAAATCAATTTACAACAAATTTGATGATAATGAAGATTTTTGTCTAGCTACATGTGGAGAAGAAATTAATACCATATTTTCAACATTCCTGTTGTTGCATTTTTGAAAATAAAATAAAATATTTTAAAACCATTTTTAACCCATATATTTTAAAATTTATTTTTAGCCATGGCAAGCAGCAGTAATGAAGATCATATGAAGAACAAAGATTATCATGCAGTTGAAGAAAGTAGATCATGTCCAGTTAAAATGGGGGATTTGTTAGGGTTTTGCCATGATTTTCTTATCATATTTTAAGTTTTATTTTGTCCTTAAAGGAAACTCAAAGTATTACCATAAATGCTTGAACTTTTTCTGATAAAAAAATATAATTCTTTTCCATATTTGATTTATTCTTTCCTTAGAGAAAAATTTAGAGATCTTTAAATTGAAGATTAATATTCTCATAACATAACACAATAAAATTCACAATGTAGGCATTTAGAGAGTTTTGTTTATAGAGAGATTTTTTCTCTACAATTATAATATTTTTATTAGTTTTTAATATGTAGGCTAGTTGGTCAAATTCCATATAATAATATTTTGATTTTTTAGTATAAGTTTTTGTTATCTGATTTATCAAACATATAATATGTAATTGTAAGCTTCCGCATGACGCTCTAATCACTTTCGAACCCAACAAAATCTGGAGGTAATATAAGTTGGAGCCTTTTCAAGTCTACTGCTTTCCAATTTTAAATTATCATATTTATTAATTAATATTTAATTATTCAAAATGACACTTATTAATTTATGCTTTGTGTGCTCACATATCTCATCAACGATCGATTATTCCAGCTCCTCAATCGAAACGATCAACAACCAAAGTAATTCTTTTATCTTAGAAATCCTGAGCATGCCTTGCTCAAAGTCCAGCTTGTACATATAATTATTTTATTAAAAGTCTATTAAGATGATGTTCACTATTGAATATTTTATTCTTTATATTACTTGAAATTGAAATCTAAATATATTTATGTTATCATAAATAAGAGAAAAAATATTATTAAAATAACAATTAAAAAGTCAGCCTAATATTAAAAGCATATCGCAGTAAAGTCAAATATCTAAAAACTTATATCAAATAACTTGATATGTGAATGAAAAATTAATGGAGAAAAATCGGAAGCTAAAATTTATTTTAGATAGGAATGACTCTTTTTTTTTGCTAATAAAAATTTGAGAAAAATTAATTTCAAATAGACATTTCCTTCCAAACAAGTGCCAACCTCTTTTGAACAGGTGTTTTTTGCACCATTTTAACTTAGATTTTTGGGTATAAATAAAATTGTTTACCCTTAGTTTCTGCATATAAATTCTGAACTCTTGTCCATATTTTCTTACAAATAATAATAAATAATTTTTTTGTGTTAACTTTTCTTTAATTTAATTGTATATTATATATATATATATATATATATATAGTATGCTTGAAATTGAAAATTTTGGTTTTGGTTAATTAGAGAACAAATATATATATATATATATATAGATGGCATAGAAAAAGGAAAAAAAATGGAATATTGGTGAAAACGTGAGGTGTGAGTGGATTGAGCGGTGAGTCGTCGTGAGTAGCACACTTTGAGAGTGACATTTAAAGTAAATTAATAATAAATATGTGGGTGTCACGTATTTTGCATATAAAAAAATAAAATAAAAATTAGAATGTCGAGTCGCCTCACTCCATTACTTATATAATAAGAGTAGTCTAGATTAATGTGTATTGGGTTTCGAAAATCAAATTGGCTGTAAGCATCTCTATATTCTTTCTTGTTGATAAATAAATATATATTTCACTTCCTTCAAATATTTACTTTGCTTAATCACTTTCATCTTTAGATTCTGATTTCATCCATTTAATTATTTCATTTTGGAAGGAAATGTGATACAGAGAATTTTCTTCTTTTAAGGTTCCTCTCATCATTTTTGGAGCTTCTAAAGATGACTGAACTGAACCAGATATTTCCTCATTTGAGAGAAATACGGGACTAATAATATTGTCAAGATAAGAATGAAACAAATAGTTTTACATGAATTGAGACAATTATTAATTAAAGGTTAGTTAGTTTATGTTAGGAAATTGTGTAGTAATAATTGTAGTTGTGTGCATGTGCTAGAGAGAGAGCTTCAAGACAAGTTAGTTGAGCTTTGGAAATGAGCTTTGAAACAACATTTTAATAATGTGTAATTCCTTACATTTTCAGAAGAAAATTGGGAGCCAAAATTCTGCAAAACAGTGGATTAAGCTACGTTGCTGAAGTTGTCCTACTCATTTTCTCAACTTATGGATTCTCCTGCCAACAGTCCACATCTACGGAAATCTGGAAGCCGACTAGTTGTTTCTGATTTTGGTAAGACAGAAATTGTCAATTTTGATACGTGCTCGCTGTTTTCCTCATAATTGGTTATGCTATTAGGTACACTTGAACCTGGTAGTGTTTTTGAAGAAGCCCATTTGCATAGCATAGAGGCCAAGGCTACTGTCAGCACACCACCGAGCACTACAACCATAATTCCATCTCCTCTTCTGCTATGGAGACTTAAGGTCTGGATTTCTCTCATACTTGAAATATTCATTCTTAAGGATAAAATATTTCTTACTTAATGTTGTTATCCGAGAATAGACTGGACTGTCCTACTTCTAAAATTTAGTGCCTGACTTTCACTAATTACCTGAAACATAAAATGCTTGTTTCGGTTACCTTCAAATCATTCAAGAGGGTAGTGCGTGCTCTGCATAACATGAATTTAGGCATGGAAGACTTGTGAAATGTCAATTTCTATCTCTCTTTATCATTTCTTTAGGTTTAAGCATGACATGATGACTATGTGTCCTGATTTTCTTTTTGTTTTGACTTTCCAAATTATTTTTATTCTTCTTCAAAGAAAATTCATAACTTCTTTTGAGTCTTCAGTAAGTTTTACTGTTCAGGTGTTACTGTTTAGCATTTGGGGTGTTAGCTGTTGCAAGGTCAGTGAAACGACTTTTTATTTGTTTGTATTTATGGATTTGTTTTCCTGTGAATGTATTCATTCGCATCTGCTGTCAATATTTGTTGTTAGTTCACAGATCAGCTGGGATTCAGTCATGAGAATGAGTGTAAACCTCCGTGATCTTTTTCTGTATGAGGCTTTTCTTTATTACAATCCTTTGCTACTTGTGGTTAGTTATCTTCACACTAGCTCATCTAACAACACTTTGTGCGTCATTTCCTCTTACAAGTATTTACTTGTTTTTTGGTGCTGCAGACGATAATGGTTTGGTTTTGGGGCATGAACCTATGGGTTTTTGCACAGGCTAATGTTAACTTTCCTAAAATTTTTGACCTCGATCAAAATCATCTCTCTCACAGAGAGATTTGGAAGGTACTGTATATATGATTTTTGTGTATCCTCAGAATCCAACACGTAAGTGAGGCAACACGGTTGGTGCTGTCATTTAGGCTAAACTTTTTTTCTAATTGTGCTATGGTGCTCTTTGATAACTCTTCCAGGATATTGTTTTCCGTTTCCAATGTTAAAATGAATATGCAGTTTCTTGTATCCTGGGCATGATAAGCTTTTCCATTTAGGCTAAAGTTTTTTCTTAATAGTCTGTTATACTCTTACCCAAAATTATATGACACTCTTTTCACTGCAAAATATTCTACTAAAATATGGTTTCGTACATTTTCCACAACTTCTTTGATTACAAACCTACCAAACTGATCAAATTTCTTTCTGATTAACTTGTTATGTTAGTTCAATATTTCTTCCACTACTACTTGTATATTATATAAGTCAAACTACTATCTTAAACTCCTTTTCCAGTCAAATCATGTTTGTTTTAATATTATCATAGATGCGCTTAGATACCATTTGTAAACAGAAAAAAAGAATAAATAAAAGAGAATTTCTTATTCAGTTGATTAACAACACACAAAAGGGCTTTTTATGGAGAAATTTTTGATGGAATATTCAACATAATATCCTATGGGATACTCGGTAGTATTTTTCTGCTTTATCTTAATTAGGATGTACATATTTGTCTATACACATTTTAATATATAACTGCATCAAGTCACTTAACTTCAATAGGAACTAGTTGTTAAACTTCTGTTTTCATATATATTGTGTATTATATATTTGAAGATACACAATAAAAATTTATCCAAATTCTGTTTATATTGCAGTGTGCTACCTGGATGACCATCATTGTGCCAACTAGCATGACAGCCTATCTCTATCTCTATTCAAATGGAGAAGTTACGTTGGCTGCATCTCAACCAGTGTAATAGATGCTTCCTTCACCAATTGAATGATAGTTCTTTTATTTGAGCTAGTCATACTAACTTTTGAGCAAAAGAAGCTTTGGTAAATTTATAACAAGGGACGAGAACCATTAATACAGCTAGAAAGAGTTTTGGCTTCTTAAATTCTTCAGTTTAGTCATACAAAATGCTAAAGTTTTAGTCACTCGCATTAAAAGTTCTAATTGTCCTCTTACTTAGATGTTCTATAAATGTGCTTGTTTTATGCTATGTTAATGAATTTCATGCAATTGCAGGTGCTCCTATATGCTGCTTTCGCCATGGCTCTGATATTTCCCTTTCATATTTTCTATTTATCATCTCGCTACTTTTTGTTAAGAACACTTTGGAGGACAGTTTTCCCGCTTCAGGCAAGTTTGCGTTACTTGAATGTTTATAACAAGAAGCATGCTGATCTTGTAAATCAAAAAATATTTTCAACTCTCCCAGTGGTAAAATAATTGAAACTTCTTTGTTAAAAGTGACACAATCTACCTATTTCTTTGCTTTGTTACGTTGCTTCAGATTGGAAACTTTTTTTGTCAGCTTGTAGGAGTATTGGTTTAATTTAGGACAAATTTTGGAATTCTTAGGTGATTTTGGTTGTCTATTACTTCACAAAGGATTCCTTGACCAAAGTATATTCTTTTCTCGGAGTATCTTAATCCTAGTTTTCAATTTCATGAAATAGTTTTACAAGACTAATAAAATATGATTCATTATGTGAATCAGACATAATAGAGCTTCCTTTCTGAAGTCATGCACTAAAGTTGTAATTTGATTCTTTTTGGAGTGAATGCAGGCAATAGCTTTTGCTGACTTCTTCCTGGCTGATATATTAACTTCTATGTCAAAGGTACACAACCTCTTCTTTCCTTTGACAGAAAAAAAAGAAGGAAAGGAAATTACAACAGAAAAACTTGTGCCCCTGGCAATGCTAATGCTATTCATAATGCACAGGTATTTTCAGATTTAGAGCGTTCAGTTTGCAGAATGGTTCATCGACAGGTTAATTACTTTCTTTTTCTTCAAAGTAAATCAAAGATGACTGACAGAGTGTTAGAATTTATTATTTTACTTCTACTTGGATGTGGATATATCACTCACTTTCAAAATATGTTTAATATCAGCACTAACACTAAGTCTCTGGGTGGTATTGGTGTGCCTGGTACTCAGATATGAGACCAAATCAGAGACCTTCTTTGATAGTTAGATACATGCTTTATGTGTTGTACACCAAATTTTATATTGATACTTGGTATTATTAGTTTTTGATTAAGAATCGGCTCGTAAACCCTTGGAAATGACTGGAATATCCCTTTTATATCATTATGTTAATTTTTTATTTGATTAGGTTTTCAGAATAATAAAAGCCTTATATATTTATGTTCAATATATATGTCCGACATTTGTGTTACCAATGCTTTGTAGAAATGTGGGCATTTAATTAATTGAACTTGTGTTTTCTTCTTCAATAAATTAATATGTATGAGTCGTATGTTTGAATTTCGTAGTTATGTTTACATCAAAAGCTAGAATTGTTTATGACAAAATTTTATCGCAAGTCAAAGTGGTAAACAAAAACTAATATTTTACTTTGTTATCCCAATCCCTCTACAAGAATCCATGCATTGTTATCCATTGCAAAACAATCATGTATTGTTCATCTCACAACAGTCCATGTATTGTTTCATACTTTCACAAAATAATTTTTGTATTATTTTACACCTCATAATAATCCCATATTATATATCATGCAAAAGTAGTACATTATGAACCTGACAACCCTTTAATATGTACGTAGATTGTAGAGAGACTGACTTTGAAATACCCTTTGCAGGAGGTATCCTATTTTTTTCCCCAGGGGAAAGTTTCTTGCTGCATAATTATAATTTAGTGCCCTGGAAAGAGGAAGTTGAGTCCCAAAGTGTGCTAAGAATTGATATAGGGAAAACGAATAGGTTCTTTTTCTTTTTTCCTTTCTGGATGATCGATCTAGTAGTAAGAGTAACTTGCATATGATTTTCACTAAAAATGAAATGGTGTCTTTGTGATGGTATATTTTAATTTTTCAAATGTCAGAAAATCTTATAGATGAGGTGACCAACTTTCTTTCCATGTGATGCTTCAACTACCCTAGAGATAAATGGTATATTTTTCTACACTGATTTTCACGTTATCAAAATGTTAAGATTTCTCAGTCCACCATGGATTATTAACATCTGCCTTCCTAAATCCAATAATTGCTAGTGAAATATATCTTAAACTTTTTCCCCACTGTATTAAAAAGAATTCATAGTTTTTGGGTCTGTATATTCTGAAAGGACCAAATATATCAGAATTTGTTTGAATTCTTGGCATTAATTATCTGAAAAATCAATAATCATGCATATGCAGGTTGCTACCATTGCATGGTTTGAAGCTGATTCTGTTTGTGGCAGTCACTCTGTTGCAATTCCTATAGTTCTTGTATTGCCTTATCTATTTCGTCTATTTCAATGTCTACGGCAATACAAGGATACTAGAGATAAGACTACCTTGTTCAATGGTAAATTTCCAATCTTTGCTGATCTGAGATACATATATATATATATAGGCCATACTAAAAGTTACCAGTTTCCAAAAATAAATGATACATAGGTCACACCGATGGTAAAGCATGGATACGGTTCCTGTTTAAAGGATTTTGAATAGTGTGATGATCCTTATTTTAATTGTGGGTTGTATTTAACTAAAATTCATTAATATTTTATTTCAGCTTTAAAATATTCAACAGCAGTACCAGTGATATTTGTGTCAGCCCTTAAGTATCACGTATTCCCTGACAACTGGGTTAACCTTTACAGGCCTTTGTGGCTTGTCTCAGCTGTTGTGAACTGTCTCTATTCATTTTATTGGGATCTGACAAGAGATTGGGACTTAAGGTGAGTGAATTTTTGTAGCTAATTTGTAAGGGATCATCCTAATTAACTTTTACCTCAATGCTTCTGTGATACACAACCACCACTCCATGCAAAGATTGGCTGTGCCAGTGGTTTGCTTTATTTGCCCGGTATGTTTCTTTCAATTATTAGTGCTGTTTATGTTCTGCCAGATGCTGCCTGTTCTCCTGCATGCCCGGCCAACTATATAATATCTTTTGCTGATAATAATTAACTGTTAACTCAAGAATATTTTTTCCTTTCTAGTTGTTTCACTCTGGTTTTCAAGTTCAACAAGCCACATATTTTATCACATTGCTTGTACGGACGCAAATGGGTAAGCCTATCCTTAATTTGCCCTTTGATTATTGTTTGCAAGCATAGCATCCGTGGACAAAAGGCCGATCAACCTTGCTTAACTGTAGGTGTACTTTTGGGTGATCGGAAGCAACCTAATATTGCGATGCACGTGGACATACAAGCTCTCTGCCCATCTCCGGCACAATTACCTCACAGTATTCACAATAACTGCTCTTGAGATGTTCCGTCGTTTCCAGTGGGTTTTCTTCCGTGTAGAAAATGAGTGGAATAAGATAAGCACCAAATCATCAAATACTCAACTCTACATGGGTGACGTCCCTAAAGAAGAAGAAGAAGAAGAACTACTCAACTCCAATGGTCACAATGTATAGCCTGCAGCCCAACATTCTACATGCCCATCCATTAATGTTTCTCCCACATTTGCAAATAATAATTTCTTGTCAATAGTATAGGATGCCATACAAGGTTAACAGGGGTAAATATAACTAACATAAACATCATACTACAAAATTAGGTAGGATACCTTTTTAAACTTGACAAGTTTTATTTAGTGCATGCTTAAGTTTTTCTATTTTTATATTCTTGACCTCCGTAAATATTAATATGGCAAAAAGTGTGAATTCACTCACTTTTAATAAGATATAAGTTTCACTACTCAACCAATTGAGCAAATAAAAATTGGTTAGTGTGTGTTTAAGCTAATGAAATGTCAAATTCAGGGATAAATAGAACTTAAATATGCACTAAATAAAGTGTGTCAAGTTTTGAAGGAATTCTGAAATATTCTACCATGATTGATTATATCAATTTATTCTTTGCTACCAACCTCAGCTATGGAGAATTTGATAAAAAGAAATTCCTTTAGTTGTAGCCTTGTAGGGCTTTGTTCTTTTTGGAAGCTATTTATTTTTATAAATAAATTCTGTTGTTTTCAGCACTCATGGATTGATATATGAATACAATATTTTCATTTGTTACTTGTCAATATTTTCAGCATTCGTTCTTTTGGGGATATTAATTAATTGTGAAAATAATTTCTCTCTTCAAGATTGTTATGAAATTGTATACGAATAACATTGTGGATAAGATAGCTTATTCATTTCAACACTAAACAAATAATGAAGAAATTCTAATAAGAAAGGTAGAACGTGAACTTAATCTTTTGAATGTGAAAAAAAAAAAAAAAGAGTTTGAAGAGAGTTTTAAGGAAGAACAACTTTCTCTGCAGAAGTTATAGTTGTAATTTTAAGATGTCGAATTTGAATAGAACTATTGGTAGCTAAATTATAAAGGATACAACCCTTCATTAGTAGACATCTTTTCATTTAAAATATTAATTCAACAATTTACTATGTGTTTAAATACAAGTTACAACATAGAGATAAGGGTTAAAAACACATCTAAACTATCTTATTTTTTCAAGTTTCATACCTAAAATAGTACTTATTAGTTTGAGAAACGCACATCTCTCTTTTATTATATTCTCGTCATGATGGGTGTAGTACAATCTCTTTTATTTAAAAGAATTAGCACATCACACTCCACATGCACAAAACATTTTACCTTGAAAAAAATTAAATACATTTTAGTAATAGTTAAGATTAAAGTATTACTCATAAAATAAAATGTAAAATATTTTTCTTATCCGACTCCACCACTTCCTCTCACCATACTTCCCCCGACCAAATTTTTTAGTTTTTTTTTTTAAAAAATAAAATTCTTTTTATAAATTTTTTAAAAAGAATTCTTACTCCCCCCCCCCCCCCCCCGGCACCCTTCAAATATAATTAAGATATTATTTTATTTTATTTTATTTTAAGAAAAAAACTATGCCACCCTATATAACCCTCCGCTTCCAATATATATATATATATATTAGAAGAGTATTTTTTATTTTCCGCAGCACTTTTTTTAAAATAAAATTTTATTTCTGTTATATTCTGTACATAAGTAGAAAAAAAAATTAGGAGTGGAGGGTTAGATGGGGTGGGGTATTTTTTTTTAAAAAAAAAACAATATCAATTATTTTTTAGGAAGGAATGGGGAGGGGGTGATGTATGAATTTTCATTAAATATTTTATTAAAGAATTTTAAAAGATAACAGGACACGGGGGATTGCCGGGGAGGGAGTAAGAAATGGTGGAGTAGGGTGAGAAAACTATTTTAATTTTTTTTAATAAATAATAGTTTTTTTTGAAAAAAAAAATGGGATACTAATACTTTAGTCTTTAGTATTTTAACTAATATTAGTAGTTTATTTAATTTTTGTCAAGGTGTAATATTTTATCCATGTGGTAAAGTTTTTGCAAATAAAAGAGGTAGTGTATTACACACAATTGTGATGTGTTTCTCAAACTAATATGTGATAGTTTATGTATGAAATTAAAAAAAAAATTAGATTGTTTTTGACACTTATTTCTAAAAATTAAGTTATATTTATGCATAAAGTCATGTATCTTCTGATTGGAATATTACTTTAGTATAATGTCACAAGACTAAATCAAAATTCCACATAACATACTAATTTTGAATATGTTGTTTCTTGTGATTACAGCAGTGATACGATACACATAAATATTTGTTCTTGCTTGCCACCCACAAAATACTTAGCAGTTTTGTTATTTTGTTGACTGAAAATATCATGTATGTGTCACATTCTTATTTTTTTTCAACGAAGTTTTGAAAAAAAAAAAAAAATTCAATTAAAGTGATATTCTGAAATGACATTATTTTATTAAATTTGGAGTCGTCATTTGAAATTGTATTTTGGTGTTTCAAGTCACCTTATTCAGATCCCCATTCAAAAAGAAAATGACTCTATTTTTTATTGATCTATGAACTAGAAATTTGGGTAAGAAATTATGTTGACCGAGGGAAAGGCATCACGCACCCCTCAAGTCCCATGATTCTAGCATGGTCGCTTGATTGACTTTTATATGACTTGAATTGAATTTTGGATATATTATACTTATGAGCTTTAGAAAAGTGCGTATTTCTCGTCTTCTTTGATTTATTAAAACTTGATTTTAGTCTGTCTTATTTTATTAACTTGTGATGTATTGGTAGCAACACTTTCCAATCTTACCACATATTATTTATGTATTTAAATTTTTTATGTCTAAAATTTTTGTATTGTTCTTCAAGTAATAAAATTTGTCTTTTATTATCATCGTCCTAATTATGCTCTTAACAGTTCAATTAACAAAAAAATAATTTTCAAAATCACTTGAAAGCCTAAATCTTATGATAAAAGTTAATGAGTTCCGAAATATTTGTTTTGTTAAAAGTTAATCGTGACAACTTACTAAAGACAAAGCTAATTACATAGATTAACTCAAACTTGTCAACTAGTACTTTGAATAAATTCATCCTTAAAAAATGCAAACAAAGTTGTACATTTTATATTTACTTTATCACATAATAATAATATTATTGAGCATACAAAGTGAAAAAGTAACTCAATTCATTAAAATTAAGTTTCATTGAAATATCAATTAATTACATAACATAAAACATCAAGTTTCATGTTTTAATCAAGATCAAGTTAAAAAAAATGGACATTTGAGCATGTGAGAAATGGTCATATTTTATATAAATTTTACTTTAAATTTTAACGATATAAAAAGTGCACACATATTTCAATATTATAAAGTCAAACTTAAACGCATGTAGAATTTGCACAACTTAATAAAATTGAAATTAATCTTATATAATGTAAAATTAGGCCATACAATAAACCTCAAGTGTTACCTTTGTGAAAATAGACTCACCAAAAGAAGAAACCACAATCAGAAACCTACAAGCTCGAAATCAGAAAAGCAAACCTCGAAATCAATCTTTATTTTTACCTCCAATCGTGTGTATTTTTTAGTTGTGTGGGTGTGTTAGGTAGTCTTTGGTGAGTGGAAAAAGAGTAAAATGTGAGGGTATTAATTTTTGTTTCTTGCTTGTGTATGTGTTGTCTATGTGTTGGTTGGGGTAGTTTTTGTTTTTCTTTTAAAAAATTAAATATCTATATAATGATAAAAATATTAGTTAACTATTCCGAAATAATAAAAATAGGGAAAATTGTATATAATAGCAAATTATTAATTCAAATTAAATGCTATAAATATAGTTTGATTTAATTGTACCCCATGGTAAACTGTTGTTATTTCGCCTCTCTCGCTTTTTATACAAACGCAAATGTATAAAATGCGTTTGTGTTTGTATAAAGCGAGAGAAAATTGTATATATACATATATTTTATCCTAGGAATTCCTAAAATAAACTCAGACTAGAAAGTATTTATCCTAGGAGAAAATAAAAAATAAATGTCTCAGACTAGGAAGTGTTTATCCTATGAGAAAAAAAAATGAAAAATAATGTCTTAGATTAGGAAGTATTTATCCTAGGAGAAAATAATAATAAATGTCTCAGACTAGGAAGTGTTTATTCTAGGAGAAAAAATAAAAAAAACGTCTCAGACTAGGAAGCATTTATCCTAGGAGAAAAGAAAAATAACAAAGGGGTTATGTCACTATTGATTTTCTTCATGTCATCAAGCAATAATGTTTCTATCTCATATGGCTACCTGATCAGCTCACCTTGAACCAGTTCGTTGGCTAGCTCTATCTTAACAGAATCTAAGCTACAATAGAAGTATTGCAGCAACAAGTTTTTTGGAACACCATGTGTTGGACATTGCAATAATAACTTTCGAAACCGCTACCATGTCTCATGAAGCGGCTCTCCAAGAACCCTTTTAAAGTTTTGGATGTTGTCCCTTAGCTTTATCATCTTCGAGGGAGGAAAAAATCTATCAAGGAACACGTTGTACAACTCTTACAACGAAGTTATTGAATCATTAGGTAGGTCGGCTAACCATCTAGTGGCTTCCCCCATTAAGGAAAGGGAAATAGCCTCAACCTAATTGATTCTTGATAAATGTTCTTAATGGTAAATGGCCCACAAACATCCACAAAATTCCTAAGGTATTCATGGGGTCTTTATAAGCTATGCAACCAACATTCCTCGCATTTAAAGTAATTAGAGCATAGTTTCAGACACTTGGAACACTGCCCTCCCGGTGCAAGGAGGCAACCAGATTGCTTTCGTGCTTTGAATGATATTCATATACATATAATTCATATCACATATGCGATCGTTTCGCCTAAAGTGACTAATCCATTGTCACTCATAATTCCACCTGCAATTAAGACAAAACAACAACACCAAACAACAATCTACTACAACTAAAGAAGATTGCAAACTAACTTCACATATTGAATTCTTAGCCATCATTCCCCGGCAGTGGCTCCATTTTTCAGAACGCTCAAGCTACCCTCAAAACAAGTAAGATAATAAGCACTCGTTAGCAATAAGAACCCAA